CCAAGCGTCAATCATAAAAAGCGAAATGGCAGTCAGGGGGGAGGGGAACTTGGCTGGAGGAAGATGTGGGAATGGGGCTCCCATAAGCTTCCCATCTAAGAGAGTCCGCCTTCCCTCTCAACCCAAGTGACCACCACTCACTGGCTCCTGCAGTCACAGATGCATGAGAAGACTGGAGTGGGTGGGGGAGGAGAGGCAGAAATAACATTTTTTTAACCCAAACAACATTTTTTAAACATTACATTGTTAAGGAATAGTAAAATCCTGCCCCCATTTTAGATCGATTCCAAATCTGTTTTTCTCAAGAGTGTCTGTTTAGTATATAGACCCTTTACACAGCCAAAGCCTCCATCTTCTCCATCTACTGATGGCTATCTCAGCAGCTGATTAGAGAACGGTTCTATCTTATGTCATATGATACTGGGAAACAGACGAAGACAAGGCAAAGACTGGGTTGCAGCTCCTATCCAACTTGCACTGAGTTTGTGGAGACACATCATTGGTCCTGTCGACTTTTGCACTTCCCTGCAAGACTTTCCATCCCAGCATAGGATACTGGGCCTGCTTTCTTTTCTACTCTCAACAGAGCCGTAAGTTTTTGACCTATGCAGAAAAAAAATAACTTATCTTGAAAAAGAATTTGCTTTTCCCTTTTTCAACCCGTGACATTTTCCTGCATGTAAATATATCCTGTATATCTACTATGTATAGATATGGGGTTTGGGTAGTTGTAGTGTTTGCTATAATTTAGAGACATATCCATACAAAGATGAGCGTTTAGAGATGATCCCTGCTGACTAGTGGGGAACAGTGGCAGACTGTAAGAGACAGAGGGCATACAGAGAAGTAAGAAGAAAAGCAGGTCGAGAAAGAAGTACTTTTCTCCCTTTCTCACAGTACAAGAACTCGTGGGCACTCCATGAAATTGCTGAGCGGTTGGGTTAGAACAGATAAAAGAAAGTCCTTCTTCACCCAAAGAGTGATTAACACTTGGAATTCACTGCCACAGGAGGTAGTGGCGGCTACAAGCATGGGCAGCTTCAAGAGGGAACTGGATAAACATATGGAGCAGAGGTCCATCAGTGGCTATTAGCCACAAGGTATAGATAGGGACTCACAGGTTGGGGCAGGTGATGCACTGTGTTCTTGGTGCTTGGGGGGGCAATAGTGGGAGGGGTTCTAGTGTCCTGGGCCCCACTGCTGGACCTCCTGATGGCGCCTAGTATTTTTGGCCACTGTGTGACACAGAGTGTTGGACTAGATGGGCCATTGGCCTGATCCAACATTGGCCTCTCTTATGTTCTTATGTTTCCTTTTGATAACATGGGCTCAGTCCTATGGGAGACACACCAAAGTAAAAGTCATTGTAATTGTTTGTTGCTAAACACACAGTGTTTTTCTAGCTTCCCTGAATGTACGCCAAAAAGAAGAAAAGCTGTTTTTATACTCCACTTTTCACAACTCAAAGGCATCTCAGAGAAGCTTACAATTGCCTTGCCTTCCTCTCCACACAACAGACACTCTGTGAGGTAGGCGGGGCTGAAAGAGCTCTGAGAGAACTGCTTTTGAGAGAACAGCTCTGAAATAACTTGTAACTGACCCAAGGTCACACCAGCAGCTGCATGTGGAGGAATGGGGAATCAAACCCGGTTCTCCCAAATTAGAGTCTGTGCTCCTAACCACTACACCAAACTGGCTAAGAAACAACGGAATTAATCTGGGACCTGCTTTTCCATTATCTAGGTAGTGGTGGGTCAGAGTGGCTTCAAATGGCCCCCAGATGAGAGGCAGGGCCCCTGAAACAACTTTTAAAAAATGAGTGAATTTTTCAACAAAATTGATGGAGGTTTTTAAAGTGTGTGTTATTAAAATAAGGCTATTTTAGTGACAGAATCATAAGCTTACTATTGACCCTAGAAAATGTTCTAATCCCCATTTCATATGGCCTCAAAAGGTCCCTATAATTGGTCAAATTTCAAAATGTTTCTGGGGGCTTGCAGCCCCCAAACCACCAGCTGTATGAGCTCACTATTCGTAGCTTTCATTTTGGCAGCTGGATCCTAACATCCTTCATCTGTTGCTGACTGAGAAGGGGCCCTCCTAACCGTTCAAGCTCCAGGGTCCCAAAAATGTAGGTCCACCACCAGTGTTCCCTCTAAGCTGAGTTAGTGTGAGTTAGCTCACAGTTTTTTAGCCTCTGGCTCACACATTCTTGTCTTAGCTCGGGAAGGATGGCTCCAGATCAAGCTAATTTATGTAGAAGCCAAATTGCTTGCTCGCAAATTTAATGGCAGTAACCCACAAAGCAGAATTTTTACTCACAAGACTCCACAGCTTAGAGGGAGCATTGTCCACCACTGATGACTGGTCATTTTGCTCTACAGGAATCTGTTGTGGTCCATTTCCCAGAAAGGCCAGGGAAAGGCCAGCAACGAAACAGTGGACAGTTTAGAATAAAGCATTTTAATGAAACTGTACGTCTCAATGTATAGCGTATCGTTTTACTAGAGTAATATCCAGGGCTTTTTTTTGTAGAAAAAGCCCAGCAGGAACTCATTAGCATAAGAGGCCACACCCAACATCAGAAACTCATCAGCATATTAGGCCACACTCCATGACAGCACAGCTCATTAACCTATTAGGACACACCCCCATGCCTTCCCTTGGCTTGTCTGGGCAAGGCCCCCCTTGAAGGGAAGGGAAGGCAGTTTAAACTGCCTTCCCTTGGCTTGCCCGGGTGCCCTGCAGCAAGCTGGCCCTTGGACAGGCCGGGGAAGGCACAGGGAGGCATTTAAATGCCTCCCCGATCCTTCCAGCCCCCCCCCGGCCCCCCCTCTTTGGAGGTGCCGGGGGGGGGGTTTCGCTCTCCAGGCCTTCCCTCTGTAGCCACGCACGCTGTAGTGGGTGTGGCCAACTCTGAAGGCAGCCGGAAGTCCGTTCCTGTGCGTTCCTGCCCAAAAATAGCCGTGGTAATATCATTTGATTAGCCTTCGATGGGATTCTCCTGAGGAAACAGCACTGGTCATGCCACTTTCGAAATAGTAACATGGACCAGGCCATCACAGAGTTGAATTCTGGCTGCATCATTATTTCAAAGACATATAAAAACCTAGTAGGGTCCCAAACAAAGCCTCATAAAATGTACAAAGTTACAAATACACACAAAAGAGAACAGTGTATATGACCTGACTCGTTTCGGCTCACAAGGGCCTTCTTCAGAGGTCAAATAGTGCAAAATCTAACAAGCAACAGAGTCCCTGCAACACATGTCAGGCAATTAACAATAAATAGAAAAGAAATAAATAAAACAGGACCAAAATTGGAATGCTGTACAGAAAGATAAAAATCCGATTGAAAATTTAATCCAATAATTTAAAAAAAAATTACTTTACCCAAATATACAGAGGAGAAGAAGAGATTGGATTTATACCCCGCCCTTCACTACCCAAAGGTGTCTCAGAGCGGCTT